AAGAATGAAGAAAATCCAAGAGGCAGGGAAATAATTAGTCCAAGGGACTAGTGGACCATGCTAATCTCAGCATTCAAGATCCTGAGACCAGAAGAACCAGATGGTGCCTGGCTACCACTGTCAACCACTCAAAAAGGGATCAAAATAGGAGATCCTGGATAGAGTGGGGGAAAAAATGTGGAACAAAACTCAAAATCATTAAAAAAAAAAAAAGACCAGGCTTACTGGTCTGATAAAGACTGGTGAAATCCCTGGGACCCTCAGGCCTGGAATTGAACTCACTCCCATGGCTTCTAGCCAGATAATAGACAGGCATGTAAGGTGAACATTTACACCAGTAGGAACTCTCCTTAGTACAATCAACCATTGGAGATCAGAAAGGCAGCACTTGCACAGGGAGATAGCTCAGAGGGCAGGAATGCATAGGAAAGAAGGACACAGGAAACAGGTAACCACAGAGAGGAACTGGGAAGAGTATGATTACATTATGGATATTGCAATCAGTGTTATGAAGCAAAATGTGTATGAACTGTTGAATGGAAAATAAATTTGCTCTGTAAATGTTCACTGAAATCACAATACAAAGAAAAAAATGGAATTTGGAAAGAAAAAAAAAAAGAAGTCCTGGCCCAGATGGCTTCATTGGTGAATTCTACTGAACATTTAGAGAAGTGATGACACCAATTCTACTCAATCTATTCCAGAACATAGAAAAGGAAGGAATACTCTCAAATTCATTTTATGAAGCCAGCAGAACCCTAATATTGAAACCAGGCAAATAGATAGTTAAAAAAGAAAATTATAGACCAACATCCCTCATGAACATCAACATAAAAATTCTCAACATAATCATAGCCAATGACTCCAACAACATACTAAAAAAAATAGCACATCTTCACCAAGTGGGATTCATATCAGTATGCAAGGATGGTTCACATTAGAAAAACAATCAGCATAATTTACCACATAAATAAGACAAAGGAAAAGAAGCACATGATCATATCAATTGATGCAGAAAAGGCATTTGATAAAATCCAACACCCATTTCTGATCAAAACTCTCAGCAAAATAGGAGTAGATGGGACATTTCTCAAGGTGATTAAGGACATATACACAAAACCAATGGCAAATTTTATTCTCAGTTGAGAGAGACTGAAAACATTCCCCTTGCAAACAGGAACCAGACAAAGATGCCCTTTATTACCACTCCTATTCAATATTGTATTGGAAGTCGTAACTAGAGTAAGAAGGGAAATAGAAGGCATCCAAATTGGCAAAGAAGTAAAACTATCTCTATTTGCAGAGGATATGATCCTATACATAGAAAACCCTAGAGACTCACCAAGAAAACTACTAGAACTAATAGAAGGTTTCAGCAAAGTGACAGGGTATAAGATCAATGTACAAAAATCAGTTGAATTCCTCTACACTAACAAAGAGAACTCTGAAGAGGAAATCAGGAAAACATGTCATTTTTGATAGCCACCCAAAAGATACAAAAAAAAAAAAAAAAAAAACCCAAATTCATTGCCATCAAGTCAGATCCAACTCATATCAGCCCCTCTGTGGGTTTCTGAGAGAGTATCACTATGGAAATAGATTGCCCAAACTTCCTTCTGAAGAGTGGCTGGTAGGTTTGAACTGCCAGCTTCTGGTTAGCAGTCAAGTGCCTTAGAGACTATGCCACTAGAGCTCCTACCCAAAAGATAGTTAGGACTATATCTAACCAGAGACACAAAAAATCTATACAGAAACCTACAAAACACTGCCACAAGAAACCAAGAGAAACATGTAACTGGAAGAATATACTATGCTCATGCATGTTGTTGTTGTTGCTTGTTGCTATGTGCCATTGAGTCTCCAACTCAGAGTGACTTTATGTACAACAGAATGAAACACTGCCCAGTCCTGTGTCAGCCTCATGATCCCTTCTATAGCTAAGCCCTTCACTGCAGCCACTGTGTCGATTCATCTTGTTGAGGGCCTTCCCCTCTTTTTTTGACCCTCCACTTTACCAAGCATGGCATCCTTCTCCAGAGAATGGTCCCTTCTGACAACATGAACAAAGCAGGTGAGACAAAGTCTGGCCATTCTCTCTTCCAAGGAGCATTCTGGCTGTACTTCCTCCAGGACAGATTTGTTAGTTCTTTTAGCAGTCCACTTTCAGCATTCTTCACCAGCACCACAACTCAAAAGCATCACCTCTTCTTCGATCTTCCTTATTCATCATCCAGCTCTCACATGCACATGAGGCGATTGAAAATACCATGGCTTGGGTTAGGTGCACCTTATTATTCAAGGAGACGAAAGAGGTCTTTTGCAACAGGTTCGCCCAATGCAATACATCTTTTGATGTCTTGACTGCTGCTTCCATTGGCGTTGATTGCAGAACCAAGTAATATGAAGTCTTTGACAATTTCAACCTTTTCTCCATTTATTATAATGCTGTTGTGAGGATTTTTGTTTTCTTTATATTGAGGTCTAATCCATACTGCAGACTGTACTCTTTAGTCTTCATCAGTAAGTGCCCCACGTCCTCCTCACTTTCAGCAAGCAAAGTTGTGTTATCTGTGTATCTCAGATTGTTAATGAGCCTTCTTTCAATCTTAATGCCATGTTCTTCTTCATATAATCCAGCTTCTCATCATACAAGTTGAATAAGTATGGTGAAAGGATGTAACTCTGACATACTCAATTCCTGATTTTAAACTATGCAGTATCCCCTTGTGTTCAAACAACAGCCTCCTGGTCTATGTATAGGTTTCTCATGAGTACAATTAAGTGTTCTGGAATTCCCATTGTTCTCAATGTTATCCACAATTTGTTATGATCTACACAATTGAATGCCTTTGCATACTCAATAAAACACAAGTAAATATCTTTCTGGTATTCTTTGCTTTCAGCCAAGATCCATCTGACATCAGCTACGATATCCCTCATTCCACATCCCCTTCTGAATTCAGCTTGCATTTCTAGAAGCTCTCTAGCAATATACCGCTGTGACAATTTTTGAATTCTCTTCAATAAGATTTTACTTGTGTGTGATATCAATGACGTTGCTTGGTAATTTCCACATTCTGTGGGATCACCTTCCTTTGCAATGGATACAAATATAGATCTCTTCCAGCCAGTTGTCCAGTTATCTATCTTCCAAATCTCTTGGCATCACCAAGTGAGTGCTTTCAGCATGGCATCCACTTGATGAAACATCTCAATCGGTATTCCATCAATTCCCAGAGCCTTGATTTTCACCAATTCCTTCAATGCAGCTTCAACTTCTTCCTTCAATACCATTGGTTCTTGATCATATGCCATCTATCAATTTTTTTTGGTATAGTTACTCTGTGTATTCCTTCCATCTTCTTTTTGATGTTTCCTGCATGATTCAACATATTGCCCATGGAATCTTTCAGTATTGCAATTTGAGGCTTAAATTTTTTCCTCAGTTCTTTCAGCTTGAGAAATGCTGAGTGTGCCCTTCCCTTTTAGTTTTCTAACTCCAGGTCTTTACACATTTCATTATAGTAATTGGCTTTGTCTGCTTGAGCTTCTCTTTGAAATCTTCTGTTCAGCTCTTTTATCTTGGCATTTCTTCCATTGGCTTAAGCTACTCTCCATTCAAGGGCAAGTTTTAGAGTCTCTTCTGACATTCATTTTGGTCTTTTCTTCCTTTCCTGTCTTTTTTGCTTTCTTCATGGATGATGTTCTTGATGTCATCCCGCAATTCCTCTGGTTTTCAGTCACTGGTGTTCAATGCATCAAATCTATTTTTCAGATGGTCTTTAAATTCAGGAGGGATATAATCAAGGTCATATTTTGGCTCTCATGGACTTCTTTTAATTGTCTTCAGCTTCAATTTGAACTTATATATGAGCAGATGATGGTCTGTTTCACAATCAGATCCTGGTCTAGTTTTGTCTGAAGATATTAAGCTTCTCCATTGTCTCCTGCCACAGATGTAATCAGTCTGATTCCACATGTATAGCCACCTTTTGTGTTGTTGAAAAAAAGTATTTTTAAATAATAAGTCATTGGTCTTGCAAAATTCTATCATGTGATCTCCAGCATCATTCTTATCACCAAAGCCATATTTTCCAACTACCAGTGATTCTTCTTTGTTTCCAACTTTTGCATTCCAATCACCAGTGATAATCAACACATCCTGAATGTATGTTTGGTCAACTTCTGACTGCAGAAGTTGGTAAAAATCTTTAATTTCCTCATCTTTGGTTTTGATGGTTGGTACGTAAATTGGAATAATAGTAGTATTAACTGGTCTTCCTTGTAGGCATATGGATATATCCTATCAGCATTGTACTTCAAGATAGATCTTGATACATTCTTTGTGATAATGAATGCCATGCCATTCTTCTTCAATTTGTCATTCCCGTAATAGTAGATCATATGATTGTCTGATTCAAAATGGACAAAATCAGTCCATTTCAGGTCACAAATGCCTAGGATATCCATTTTTAGGCATTCCATTTCATTTTTGACAACTTCCAATTTTCCTAGCTTCATTATTTGTACAGTCCATGTTCCAATTATTGACGGATGTTTGCAGCTTTTTCTTCTCATCTGAGTCATGCACATCAGCAAATGGAGGTCCCGAAAGCTTTACTCTATCCACTTTATTAAGATTAGCTCTACTCTGGGGAGGCAGCTCTTTCCCAATTGTATCTTGAGTATCCTCCGACCTGAGGGGCTAATCTTCTGGCACTATATTGGACAATGTTTCTGAGCTATTCATAAAGTTTTCCAGTAATATATCAGACAGTGTTTCACTCCTTCTTCTGAGTCAGTCTTAGTCTGGAAGCTCCACTGAAACCTGTCCACCATGGGTTACTCTTCTGGCATTTGAAACACCAGTGGCATAGCCTCCAGTCTCACAGCAACACTCAAAGCACCACAGTATGACAAACTGACATAGAAGTTTGTCTCCTTTAGCTGTTCCAAACTGCTCTGTTCATTTCCTGGTCTCCCCAGCCCTGCTCGCTTACCAGGCCTGCCCCCAGGGAGCTCCACACAAACATCCACCTCCACTGCTCCCGGCTCTCTTTCTGTGGTCTGCCCCTGGGGTGCTCGCTCCACGCACACAAACACCTTCCCTCCGCTGCTCCCAGGCTGGCTCATGCACTGGAAGACTTAAAATTGTAAAAAAGAGAATACTACCCAAAGCAATCTACAGATGTAAATGCAATTCTGATCCAGATTCCATCACCTTTCTCTAAAGAGATGGAAAAATTAGTCACTAACTTCACATGGAGGAAAAAGGACCCAGATAAGCAAGGCATTACTAAAGAGGAAGAACAAAGTAGGAGCCCTCACACTCCCTGATCTCAAAACTTATACAGCCATAGTAGTCAAAACAGCCTGGTATTGGTGCAATGACAAACACATAGACCAATGGAAAAGAATTGGGAACCCAGACTGGTAGCATAGTGCCTAAGGCACTTGACTAGTAACCAGGAGGCTGGAAGTTCATAGCTACCAGCCACTCCTTGGAAGGAAGGTTGGGCAATCTACTTCTGTAGTGATAGCACCTCGGAAACCCAAGGAGGGGTCACTATGAGTTGGGTCTGACTCAATGGCACATAACACCATGGACAGGTAATCTTAGACAAAGGGCTGAAACCTATTAAAGGGGGAAGAGATAGTGTCAAAATTCACAGAAAAATTAAACAGGAACCATATTTTACACCATATACAAAGACTAACTCAAGATGGACCAAAAACTATCTGATCTGATTCATAGCGACCCCTCCTTGAGTTTCCGAGGCGGTATCACTTACGGAAGGAGATCACCCCATCTTCCTTCCGAGAGTGGCTGATGGGTTTGAACCACCAGCCTTCTGGTTAGCAGTCAAATGCCTTAGGCACTACACTACCAGAGCTCCTACCCAAAACCATAAAGATCATCAAAGAAAAAATAGCAGCAAACTCAGTGACCTAATACATGGCACAAATACACTATCAAACATAACTAAAAGTACACAAACAGCAGAAGACAAACTCACTCACTGCCGTCAAATTGAATCTGACTCATAGCAACCCCTCCTTGGGTTTCTGAGGCAATATTTTTACGGAAGTAGATTACCCAGTCTTCCTTCCGAGGACTGGCTGGTGAGTTTGAACCACCAGCTTTCTGGTTAGTAGTCAAATGGCTTAGGCATTATGCCATCAAAAGACTTTGCTGAAAGAGTAAAAAGAGAACCTACAGACTGGATAAAGAAAGTTGGCAACAATATTGGACAAGGGACTGGTCATCTGATCACTGACATGGGTGCTGCTGCAGTTCTGGGCAAGTAGAGCTGGTTGCCTGGTTCTGGCTCCAATGAGAACGCTGCTTGCCATAATTCGAAATGGCACACTCCGCTGGTCAGCAGTTTACCGCTCCTTGCTCACTGTTTTCGTTCAGTGTCTTTCTCTTCCCAGTATTCAATCTACTTCTTTATCCTTTCTTTTGAAGCTCTGCGATCCAGGACTGGCATCTGTAGCGGTTTCCCTTGTTTTGTTTTGTTTTTTGACTCTTTGTTGTAGAGGATTTGGATAGTGTGTCTGTCTGCCTGGTTTGCCATCTTAGACCCTACCCCCCAAATATACCAATTTAAGTAAGAGGTTAATAATAGGCAAAGCTGAGTGCAAGTAAATGGGAACTCTCTGTAACGTCATTATGTCTTTTGTAAATCTAAAACTATTCTAAAATAAAAAGTTAATTTTTTAAAAAAGTAAAGAGATTAAATATTACTCTAACAAATACAAGAATTATTCAATGTAAGGAGCACGTGTATTCCCTCTGGGCTGAATGAGAATACCCAAGAAAGAAATGAAACCAATTAATAGACCATTATTGAAATTTATTCACCAACTACAAATACTAAGGAAGAAGAAATTGAAGTTTTATGCCCTGCTACAGTCTGAGATCTACTGAATGTGAACAAAAATCGAACTTGAACAAAAACAAGTAACATTGCTCCTGCCTCCCAAAGCTAAGATTCAGACCTCTTTGGGGAGGGTATGGCGATAAAGTTGGGGTGCTGCCTGCCAGAGATGGTCCACCCCAATGGGCTGCAGCTGCCAAGCAGGATGACCCTTTCCACAGTGCCAATAAAACTTGCTAGGAGTTTAACACCACTGTGTCCACCGCATGCTGCTGTCTTCATCCTCAAAGGAGCAAGAAAAAACACCTCAAAGGAGCAAGAAAAAACACACCAATAACCAGGAAAAGGAGTCCCATGAGTGGTGCTCATAGTTGACTTACTCAGCTGCTTTCCAAAATGGTGGAGGGTTCAGAGTCACTTTGGAATAAAGGTTGGTGATCTAAAAAAAAAAAAAAACAAAAAAAAACGGTGATTCTGCTAGGACATGCAACAGTCCTCCAGCGCCCTCTAATGGAAAAATATAATATTGTGCCAATTGGCAACGGAGAAGTACTAACAATGTCCTCCTCAGTATGACAAAGCAAGGTGGCTTTAGAATTGATGACTTTATGAAATTAAAGAGTCTAAACCGTGACAGTTATCAATTTTCTAGAAATTTATCTCTAAAATAAATGCAATCAAAATAAAAATCCTAGCAGGTTTTTTGAGAGGCGGACATGTACAAGTTGAACCTAAAAATCACGTGGAAATGAAAGGTTCAAGAAAAACCAAAGGCTTTCGAAGACATAGAATGAAACTGTAAATGTAACATTTTTAAACTTTGGTAAATGTAACAACTTTAGTTTTGACTTCCATTTTCTCTGCGTGGGAACTCAGTTCTACGTTCTATGGAGGCTACTTATTCTTTGTTTCTCAGATTAAATCTTTTCTTATGGTTCTTAGGGAATTCAAAGTCATCTAATCAATAAGGTCACAAGAAAAGATATAGTACTGAAGAAATTCTGAATATCATTTAAAATTTAAGATCTGATCCTTTCTGAGATTGGCAGCTTTGTAACTACCACGTACAGAAACAGGAAGAAAAAAAAAAAAAAAAAAGGCATGAATTTGCTTCTTCACTGTTTAACCAAATAGCAAATTTTCTCTTCTAGGTTTGGCAATCCTACTTCCGTAGTGATACTGCCTCGGAAACCCAAGGAGGGGTCGCTATGAGTCGGGGCCGACTCGACGGCACATAACAACAACAACAATTGTCATTCACTAGGTAGCGTTATGTAGTACTGACATGAAAGGGTTTAGGAGGGAAAGGATCTTACTGGCTTGAACTTGTCATCAATGATCTCCCTTTTGGTGACAGAGTAGTTAAGCACTCAGCCTCTAATGACAAGATGGGTGGTTCAAACTCACCAGATGCTCCGTGAGAGAAAGACAAGGCAGTCTGCTTCTGTAAAGATTTACAGCCTTGAAAACCCTATGGAGCAGTTCTACTCTATCCTGTAGGGTAGCAATGAGTCAGAATTGACTTGATGGCAACGAGTTGATTCTTGGTTTTGGACCTTTCTTTGGAATCCTTTGGGATTTTAATACCCCATTCTTTTCCTTTTGTGCATTTCCTTGTTCTTCAGAAGGCTTCCACTATAACTATAACTCATAAGGAACCTGTACATAGACAAAGAGGCAGTTCTTCCAACAGAACAAGAGGATACTGTGTGATTTAAAATCAGGAAAGGTGTATATCAGGGTTGTATCCTTTCACCATACTACTTCACTCTGATTATACGCTGAGTAAATAATCTGAGAAGCTGGACTATATGAAGAAGAACACAGGATTAGGTTTGGAGGAAGACTCATTAACAATCTGATATATGCAGATGACACAACCTTGCTTGCTGAAAGTGAAGATGACTTGAAGCACTTACTGATGGAGATCAAAGACTACAGCCTTCAATATGGCTTACACCTCAACATAAAGAAAACAAAAATCCACAGAACCGGAACAATAAGCAATAACATGATAAATCGAAGAAAGATTGAAGTTCTCAGAGATTTCGTTTTACTTGGATCCACAATCAGTTCCCATGGAAGCAGCAGTTAAGAAATCAGATGTCAGAGTTCCAGCAAGATGGCAGAATAGGCAGAGAAGCCACACAGACCCTCTGCAACAAAGCAATGAGAAACCCACTGAAACCAATGCTGACCCCTGAGCTTTGAAGGGAAGGATAAAGAAGTAGATTAAATACGGACTAGTAGAAGAACCTGAATGAAAACAGTGAGTAAGGAGACAAACAGAGCTGTGACTGCCAGTTGTCCTGAGGGCACAAGCCATTTTGATAATTTGCAAGCACATCCTGGTGGCAACCTAAGAACTGGCTCTGCTCACCAAGAACTGAATGGGCAAGGACTACATTGGTGCCTGACAACCAGAAGGAAAACAGTGAAGGAGACAAACAGACCTGTGGCCTGCCAAAGGGTATCCTAAGGGCACAGACATTTTGAATATTTGTAAGTGGCACAGCCGTTCTAAATATATGCAAGTGGCATTCTTACCTGGACAGTGACCTAAAAATAGGCTCTGCTTGCTGAGGGCAACACGGACCATCAAACTGGAGGCTGACACTGGAAAGGTAGGATATTCCTCTTGTTACCCTTATACCCCACACTCTCTTGCTGAACAGAGTTAAGACCATTCCCCACCTCCACCCACTGTCCTAACAAGCAGGAATTCCCTCCCAGTCTGTTCCCTGTCAGAGCCCGGGTACAGTGACCGGCCCCCTACAGTTTTGGTTTTGCTTGTTTTAAAATTATTTTTAGCTTCCTCCTTTCTTCCTTTTTATTTATTTGTTTTTTTCTGTTTCCCATCCCTCGTGCTTGTTCATTTCTCTTCCCTTTTTCTGGGTCTCTTCTTTTTTCTTTCTTTTGGTTCTTCCCATTTCTTGTTTTTCTTTTTGCAGTTTTCCCATTTTTCCTTTACTATTCTTTTACTCTTGCTCTTTTCTCTCATTCCTCCCTTCCCAGATATTGTGGGTATGTTTTTCTCTTTTCTCATTATCTTTCTTTCACTCTTTTAAAATATATTTTTAATTTTTTTTATTTTAATTTATTG